TACAAATGCATCCATTGATGATCCATCCCAGTTTTAGAATTCATCCCAAAGCTACACTGACCAAAAACAAACAAACAAACAAACAAACAAAACAGAAACCGCCGCCTCGGCTCCACAGCGCGGTGGCGGCAACCGCAGCCCAGGGCTCGGGCTCTCCCGCTCACGTGCTGCCGGAAAGACGGTTTCACTCTCTTACCCTCTGCAAAATCCTCCTCAACATGGTTTAAACACCACCCGGCGTCGCCGCGGTTACTCTCCGGACCCAACGCGGGGCCACTGACTACTCGGGGGTGAGCGGGAGGAAGACACTGAGCCTGGAGGGGACCAAGGAGGAGGTCGGGACGAGGCGGTGGCGGCGGCCGCTCGGGCGGCCCCGACTTCCCCACGGGAGGCGAAAGGGAGCGCGCGCGAGCGACCGACGAGGTAGCCAGCGAGCGCCCGCCCGCCGGCTGGGCCACTACGGTAACTGACAGCTGGGCGGACCCGCCTGCCGCAGCCCCGCCCACTCGGCCTGTCCATCCGCGGAGGGGGCGGGGCTAGGAAAGGCCTGGCCAGGCCCTGCACCAATCGGCAGCGGCGGTGGCGTGGGCGGCTGCGTGACGGACAGGAGACAGGATACTGGTGCCGCCGCTCCTTCCGCCGATCTCGGGAACGCAGTGGCCGCCGAGCGCACGCCCGCGCGCTCCGTCAGAGGCCGCGCCCGCGCTCAGACCGCGTGCCCGCTAGGAAAGAGGGTGAGAAACCTTGGGGCCCGGCGTAGGGGTGCCCATGACCGTGACTGGGGAAGCGGCTTCGGGATGAGTATCTGCGGTGAGACCTCAGGCCGCTCTCTAAAATTTTTCAGGTGACCCTGGCCTGTACTGAATCTGGCCTGGATCCTCATTTCTGCTAGAAGCGCTTAGCCCCTGCGTGGAAGCAAAGGAGAGAATCGCAGACACGATTAACCGACCCGTCTGTTGGGCTTCCCTGCCCTTGTCCGACCCCTTGTTTCTTTTCCCTGTTGCCTTCCTGCTTCTAATTTCAGACAAAGGAAAAATAAAGAATCAGAAAAAAGGGTAGGACGACACTGGAATTTAAGTTAGCAAGAGAAGTTTGAGATTGTCCCTTTGGGATTATAACAACAATATTTAATGGACTGATGTCGCTAACATGTTGCACTTTATCTTTCTAAAGTCCATGTTTGGACCATTCTAAAGAATTTAAAACCTATTCTGATATAGATATATGAAGTGAATCGGCGTTAATGTGTCTGTTTTATAGATTAAGAAAAAATTATGAGGTCACAAATAAACCATATGCCAAAACGAGGACGTGGACTTGGAACTGACTTCCAGGAACGATGTCATTTAAACTCAAAATCACAGCTCCGAGTCCTACCATTCAGCTAGTATTCACAATCTAAGTGGTTTGATTTTTACCCTAGGAGAAAGAGGGAAGCCTTTAATATTATTTAAATAGGGAACTAGAGGTACGAATGCAACAAACCTTGGGGCGGGGAGGACTGAAGTCTACCAAGCAATGAATGGAGTGCTTATTGGAAAGTATTTTGAAAAGATGCAGCGAATATTATTCTCAAGTGAATTAATGTAAAAGTGTTCTGTAAAGTGTAAAATATTATATGATATATGTTGTTTCTATCCCAAACATGTTCTGTTTTTTACTGTGTCTGCAGTAAAACAACCCTGCCTACAACTAATACATTATTAATCACTATTGATAATAGTGCACTTAAATACTTCCAGGCAAACATAGCAAAGCCCACACTTTTTCATCTTTCCAGACACTGGTGCATTATTTTCAGACAATATGGGAAATATTTTAACCAACTAGGGTGATAAAACTGTGTGAAATAATAAATAGGTATTTGGTCTCTGCCCCAAATTCCTGGCACAGAGCTTCTAAAACCCTCGTGAATTCAGGTGTGTTAGGGTGCTAGAAGCACCTTTTGTTCTAATATTTAATTTTTGACCCTGGTTCCTGACATAGAGCTTCTAAGTACTCTAGAATCCCCAGAGTGATAAGAGTGTCTTTTTGAATGCTACTGAATGACTGATGATTGGGGCTCCCTAGATAGCTTAAGATAATGCTGAACACCAGAAAGACCCATGCATGATTAGGTTGGAATTTTCAGACCCATGTGCCTCCACCTACTGAAGGGAAGAGGAGCTGCAAAAGTTAATCACGAATGGCCAATCAATCCTGCCTCTGTAATGGAACCTCCATGAAAATCTCAAACAATGAGGTTTGAAGAGCTTCTGGGTTGGTGAACACATCAAGATGCTGGGAGAATGATATGCCTAGAGAGAACAGGGATGCTCTGCAGCCCTTCCATTTTACCTTGCCTTATGCATACCTTCCATTTGGCCTTCCTTGAGTTGTATCCTTTATAATAAACTGGTAATAGTAAACAAAGTGTTTCCTTGAGTTCCATGAGCTGGTATTGCATATTATTAAACCTGAGAATGGTGTTGTGGGAACGTCCAGTTTATACATAGTTAGTATGAAGTACAGATGACAACCTGGGACTTTTGACTGGTGTCTGAAGTTGAGAGCATTTGTAGGACTAAACTCTTAAACTGTAGGATCTGTGTTAACTATGGGTGGTTAGTACCAGAATTGAATTGAATTGTAGGACACCCAGTTGGTGTCCAGAGAATTGGAGAATTGCTTGGTGTTAAATAAAACACCACATGTTTGGTGTCAGAAGTGTTGTAAGCAGAGAAAGGAAACAGTTTTCCATTTAAAGTGATATTTATTTCTCTTTTTTGTTTGTCTTTCAGAAATTAATTTACTTTAAAGTTGCTTATTAATGTTACATTCTAAAGCCATCTCTATTGAAATTCTCCTGTGGAATCTTTTGACTAATATAATAGACTCTCATCTACCACTTAGCAAATGGGTTATTCAAAAATCTGTGTGCTCCCCTGCAGTTTATGACAACTCCATCACTGGAATACACTAGAGAACTTAATTCTGCAAAAGAAAATAAGCAGTAGATGAGAGATATCATGTAAGAATACCTTTCACTAATCTAGCAGCTTCCCACACATAACAGTTCTGCTTATCCTATCTGGCCACTAATTCCTATTCATTTATCTATCTTACATTAATATTCTATTAGTTCTTTGACTCCACCAAGATCTCAGGTCCATTGTCCTCTCTTTCTTACTATTAGCCATTTCCCTAGTGTCATTTCCATCAAAATCCAGTTGTCTGTGATTCAACTTGATAGTCCCCCCATTCTTGCAAATATTTTGAACTTCTTCATCTCTCTCTTCCTCTGTTGTTTTCATCTAGGAGAACCCAAACCCAGCTATCTACCTACTCTATGCTGCACAGGAGCAGCTGAATATCACTAGAGATGCACATGTACAACTGGGGCTATTGGGCTCATTTTGCCTTGTAGCCACAGATTTCTGGTCGGAACTCAACACAGTCCAGCAGCATTCCTGTTACACTTTCCTCCTGTCTTTTTTCTCTAGATCTCTAAAATGACTTTCACATCTATAGTTATTTCACTGTCTTACCTTGCATTTTCTTAACCCACTCCAGTCAAGCCTCCTTCTCACCTACTCCAATGAGACTGCTCATGTTAAGATTACTAATGACCGACATGTTGCCTAATCCAAAGATGACTATCATTTTTGACTTTGACTCTCATTTACATTCAAAACTGTTGGGCAATCTCTCATTGAATTATTTTATTCTCTTCTCTTCCTTGACAATGCACTTTCTGTTTTTTCTCCTCAATGACTATTCCTTCTCTGACTCAATCGACAGCTTCTCTACTGTATATCTTAATGTTCAAGTGCTCCCCACTCTGTCATAAGACCCCTCCTTTACCTATCACACACAGCCTAGAAGTGATCTCCCCTGGCTTTAAACTTCATCTGTGTACCCAAGACTCCCAAGTCTGAATCTCCAGTGCTGACCTCTCCACAGATTTCCAGACTTGTATAACAAACTATCTACTTCATGTTTCTTCTTTGATGTCTAATGAGCATCTCAAACTTAACATGGCTGAAACAAAACTTCATTTTTTTCTTTGAAACTGCTTTTTCACCAGTTTTCCTGTCTCAGTATGTATTACTATTAGGTACTTAGTTGGATCAAACCAAAAATCTTGGAGTTGTCTTTGATTTCTCTTTATCTCATCACTTCTTGTGCCTCTAGCCAATTCATCAGAAAATCCTGACAGGTATACCTCAAAAACATATCCTAAATCTGCTACATCCTTCCATTGCCACCTTAGCCCATAGCACCTTCATCTTGTGTCCAGACTACTATAATAGTTTCCTGGTTGGTCTCCCTGCTTTTACTTTGGCTTCGTTATAGTCCATTCACTACACAGCATCTAGGAACAACTTTTAAAAATGCAAATGGAATAATGTCACTGTCCTCCTTCATTGTAGCTTTCTATAATCACAATAAAATCCAAATACCTTATCCTGGCTCACAGATCTGGCCCTGCCTACATACCTGCCTTCCACTTTTAACACTGTCCCCTTGTCTTAGTATGTCCCAGTCTCCCTGAACCTTTATGCCACAATTGCACAAAGCTCATTTCTGCCTCTACACCAACCATTTCCTATTTAGGAAATGTTTTTCCCTGAGATCTTGTAGTTAATTTTGTGTAATTCATACTGCACCTTAAAAGTTACCTTCTCAGAGATATCTTTAATCTAAAAGATATCTAAAATGGTCTCCAATTTATCACATCACCCATTTTAATTCTGTGCACAGCAGAGAAAACTACAATTTCTGACTTTTCTTGTTTGTCTATTTATGTCTCCTCAAGAAGAATGTAAGTTCCCTGAGTGTGAGGAACTTGTCTCTTGTTCACTGCTGTATGGTTGAATAAAGCAATGTTCAACCATGGCTCACAATAAATAAATATTTGTTGATGAATGAATAAAGAAAAGAAGGAAAGAAAGAAGATGCTATGGTTTGAATCTTCGTGTCCATCCAAATTTCATACCTTGAAATCCTAACCCCCAAAGGTGGCAGTATTAGTAGGTGGGGCCTTTGGGAGGTGATTAAATCATGAGGGTGGAGCCCTCATGAATGGGATTGGTGTTCTTATAAAAGATATAAAGAGCCCTCTAGTCCTTTCCTTTATGCGAGTAAACAAGAAGTCCGAAACCTGAAAGAGGGCCCTCACCAATGATTCTGGCACCCAGACTTTCTGATCTCAGACTCCAGCCTCCAGAACTGTGACCGATACATTTCTGCCACCAGACTGTGAATTTTGTTATAGTAGCCCAAACTAAGTAAGACAGAAGTGTATGTAATTATTCCTGCAAGAGTTGCCTTACAGGATTCCTCAAACTAACATCTTCCTACTTGTGAATATATGGTCCAAATCCAACAATATTGAGTGCAATTCAACAATCTTCTGATCCTATTTGGTATTTGTTTTCCTTTTAATATAGTATGGATATTTTTTAACTCTTCAAAATTCCCCAGTATTTATGGGGAACAACCTATTTCCCACCTTCTATAAATTAGAACATTTTTTCTCTTGTTAATTTCTTGTGTGATAACCAAATAATTCATTTGCAGTTAGAAGCAATCCATGAAAAATCACAACACAATAAGCAAAGTGCAGATGATGGCTCTGTATAAGTAAGGCAAAAATAGTTTAGGGATTCTAAAGAATACACACAGGACTAGTAAACAGCTATGTGGCATCGAGTAGATCTTTTTTTTTTTTTTTTAACTGAATTACTCACTTAAAAAATTTTTTTCCTCTTGCTTATTTATTTGTACCTTTAAAACAAAATTGAGATATAATTCACAAACCATAAAGTTTACTCTTTTAAACTGTATAATTCTTAGTGGGTTTTGTTTGTTTGTTTGTTTGTTTTGTATATTCTAAACATTTTACAACCATCCTGAACCAACTAATCAAAGCCTAATGTCATTTTATGCTTCTTTCAGCCCTTGGGGACAGGATGAGGAGAGAGGCAAAAATGAAGACTTCAAAGAAATGAGGAGATACGTGAATCCTCCAAAACTCTACTGATTTTTCCCTATACGTTAATTGACCTGATTAACCTCAAGAAAAATATCAAGTCTCCACAGAATTTCTTTGGAGGCAGATTTAGGGAAAATCCAAAGTAATAGTTATGTTTCAAGATCTATCTGTATATGTGATAGGCCATAGCCAAACCTATTGCATTTAAACCACAAGTTGATGGAGTACAAAATAGACTATGGAATCATGTAGAGATGGCACAAACAAAAATTCTCATCTATCATAATAGGGTGGAACTCTTGAGTGCCAATGTGGCTCCTCCAATCATACACAGAAAGTTCATGGTTGGGACTTTCTGACCTGGTAGACTTCCCATTCTGTGTGAGTTTCCTAAAACTATACAGTTGGGGTACTAGGAAAGCAATGGGGATCTAGGATAGCTTATCTTTTGATCTTGCAAATATCTTTATATTGCCAGTTTGCAAAAAAAAAAAAAAAATTAGTAGTTAATCAAAGTGAAATTGATGTTCAAATCCAAATCATCATTTTTATCTGTTCTAACTGAGATAAACCTATGGACCTCCTAGCTGAACAGCCAACCAAAAGTACTGTCACAAAAGGAGGTATAGAAATGAAATTGGAGGAGAGCAAAGTTTGCCACCCCAAAATATGCTTTGTTGGTATACCAATAATTTTAGACTGGTTATTCTAAAGAAATAGCAGATTTGGGAGAAATTCTGAAAATGAAGAAGTTACCCTTTGTAAGAGACATTTACACATAAAAGGGAAATCTCCATTGGTAAGAATATCTCTTTCTCTGTAGCAAGAAGAGAAGAATGACTCAGTCTCTAGGAACTCTTACCAACTGAGAAGACAAGAACTCAATCTGCAGAAAAACCTTACCCTTGTTGACTGCTTTTCCTGGTATCCACCCATAATTGGCTTTCCCCCTTCCCCTCAACATCATCTTTTGTTTTTAGCTGCGGATGGTATTCAAGGTGATGGCTTGGGCCACTTTGGAAAGTTATTCAGTCTTTCTGAGTCTCTCCCATGTATGCAAAAGGACCTAGAAAGGAAGAAGAGAATGTTTTTCCTCCCCCACAGAGCCAATATCTGAAGCTTTGTTCTCACAAGCTCCTCAAGTGTGTTTGTGAGGTCAGATAAAGTTATTTAACAAGTTTGGTAGACAGATATCATCAGAGCACAGTTTAAGGCGGGTATTTCCTTGGATTTCCTAAGTCCAGTGTTTTTCTAAGTGTGTCTCTCCAAACCCTAAATTCTCAGAGGCAACCTCAGTGGATAGGGAAAAATAAGCAATTATTCACCCTCATGTCAGTTGATGTAGCTTCACTGTTATGTTTTACATAATAGAGTTCTAAGATTTGTTTCAAAAAAGGAAAAAGAAAGAATCAGTCAGGGGCCCAGACGGTAAAGT